AGCCTGGAGAAGAGAAGGCTGCGGGGAGACCTGATTGCAGCCTTTCAGTACTTAAAGGGAGCCTATAGGAAAGATGGAGACAATCTGTTTAGTAGAGACAACAGTGATAGGACGAGGGGTAATGGTTTTAAACTAAAACAGGGTAGGTTTAGGCTAGATATAAGGAAGAAATTCTTTACAATGAGGGTGGTGAAACACTGGAACGGGTTGCCCAGAGAGGCAGTGGAGGCCCCATCCCTGGAAACATTCAAGACCAGGTTGGACAGGGCTCTGAGCAACCTGATCTAGTTAGTGGTGTCCCCGCTCGCTGCAGGGGGGTTGGACTAGATGACCTCTAGGGGTCCCTTCCAATCCAAAACTTTCTATGATTCTATGATTCTATGAAACATCTGCCAAAATCCTTCTGGTATTAATTCTCTCACAGGGCAAAATCCCAGAAAAGACAATTTCTTTCAGATCTATTTTTCTCTGATGCTAATATTCAGAATTCTGTGACATCTTGCATATGACTGAACCTCTGCACTCAGGACAAAGCCTGACTGGCTTTAGTAGGACACCTGCACTGAACAGCTTGCAGCTACCATAGGAGAGATGAAAAATAACTATTAAGACCTGAAGAAGTTTATAATTTACGTGCCTTAACAATGGATGAGTGACATTTACAATAAAATTTGTTAATAATTACAATTATTATAGCATTTATTCTGAAGGAACACTGCACCCTAAAAAGAACTGTACCTTCATCTTTTATGACAAGAGGACAATTCCAGGCTTAAGGGGCCTTGACTAAACACAAATACAGCCTTTTCAATGGACCAGTATGGAACAAATGGATAAGGACAGCAGATATGTAGTGAGAGCAGTAACACAGCTGTGGAAAGCAGAAAATTAATGATTTCATTATCACTGTGTGCACACAAAGAACCGTTCAGTAAAACTAAAAGCAGATACTAGACAGAGAGTAATTATAACTTTCTGAAATTAGTGATACAGCACTCCCTTACAGAGTATGTTTTTCCTGTAAATACACATGGAGTTGTCCTTTTCCTTAGCTTTAGCATGCTACAGCTTTTCCTCCTCCTGACACTGTTTCACAACTGCTGATACAAAACCCTTTAATCTTTATACTCTTTCCTTTAAGAAATTCTGACTATAATGAAAATGAAGCCCTTAAACAGACTATTTGGATAGGTTACGGTTCCCCAGTACTAGGTGAGTGAGGGGTTCTACAAACAAGTCAGAAAAACCATTTGTAAAAATGTTATGGAAGACAAAATGGTAGTTCAAGACTTCTGTAGATGAGGACAGAAAACCTCCTTTTAACATCACAGGAAGGAATGGACCTTGAGAGGTTTGAAGCCCAATCTCAAAGCAGTGCAACTATGCCCTCAGTCCAGGCTGATCTAAGGCTGGAGACTGCTCAACCTTGCTGGGTAACCAGCTCCACTGCTTAGTGTTCTTCTCATGAGGAAAAGCTTCTCCTTGTATCCAATTTCAATTTCTGCTTGTTGTCTCCTGTCCATTCATGTATCTTTGTGAAGAACCTGGCTCTATCTTCTAGATATCCTCCTTGCTGACATGGAAAAGCTGCCTTTAGGTCCTG